AAAACAGGCAGATGGGGGAGTCTGTCTCAGGTTTCCTGACCCTCCCGTGGTTCACTAATTGGCTTCATTGCAAAGCCGCAACAAGACTGGAGGTGTCCTGAGCCAAGGCTGGAGGTGTCCTGGGCCAGTTTCGGCCTAAAAGGTTATTTTTAGGCTTATGCTAAATGTATCTTGAAGGGCCTTCCAAAGGTCAAGAGGATTTCTGCCTAGGTGTGATTTCAGCACACCCTCTATTGTGACCGTGTTGGGGTAAAGCATTGTAATTAACAGTAGGTAGTCAGAGCAAAGGCGAGTGGTTGGGGACTTTTGGGTAATTTTATCATATACTCAGGATGTATAAGAGAGCTATGTAATGCTTTTATAGTAGTATATTAGGGAGTCAGAGGGGGGTCGCTTCCCAGCAAGGCTACCACAGTTTCTGGAACAAATAGCAAGCGGCCTTGCCGACATGCTAATTCGACCTAAGTTTTATTCCTAGGTAGTGGTGGTGGGGGGGAGGCAGCAGCGGCCTTGCCAACGTGCTGACATGACCTAAGTGGTGCTTAAAGGGACAAAGCTCAAAACAGATCCTGGGGCCCTACCAGGTCGGACTCCTCCAATCTACGATCACTTCTTAAAAAGAATTATTTTATTTTATTTATTGTTATTTTAATTTGACCCAAGAGACAGAGAGAGAGAGATAGGGAAGGAGAGAAAGCAAGCTGCCAGGTCTGGAACTTGAATTCTGGCCATGTAGGAGTCCAGTGCCCTAAGCTCCGTGTCACCTGCTGGACCCTACAATTACTTTTTCATCAAGGATTATCTTTTATTTTTTTAAAGTGATTTATGCCTTAGGCTATGTATGCTTGCCAGAGAGAGAGAGAGAGAGACAGAGACAAATAGTGAGAGGGAATGTGAGAAATCACACCCCATCCCCCACCCCAGAAGGGATGGCCAGGGCACAATTCCTTCTCCATTCTCTTCCTGGGACGTTGCGCCCACATGCACATGCACCTGGTATGAGTTTCAAGCCACTGGGTCTGAAACGCGACCCACCATTGGCCATGTGGGTGTCCAGCAATGTAACTGCTACACCATTTGCTGGTCCCTCAAGGACTACCTTTACTGTCTGGAGAATTTCAACTATTTGGTCACGCTGAAGCCTATGTTGCTCAAAAAAGAAAGGACAAATATTCAATTAATTCCCTTTATATGCCTGCCTTTGGAAGACTAATATTATTCTTTACCAGTGTCCAGTATTGACCATAGAAGCTTATCTTTTCCTCTTTAAGTTTCATTATGAACTAATGACTTATAAATATATTTGAATGTTTTACTCCACTGCAGACATTATTCTTTTTGATGCTTGGTTTTTACCCTTTGGAAGCCTACTGAAGTTGGCTGCTTTGTCGTTTTGACATGGTCCCCATAGTCTGATAGTGTTCATGCTTTTTTGATACATCTAGATGTTTCATGTTCATCTTATGCATTTCTTACTTCTGTTGTGGAATGCAGTCATTTCTCCAAGGTCCATGGTTTCTTTTAGTGGCAAGAGATATTTAGAGACTAGACCCTGGATGCTAGGCCTATATATAACTATGGATTTAATCATTGCTTCTAAGCTATAGAATTTCTAGTTGATAGAGTTAGTAAATAAGTTTTATTTTTTAATAGTGCTTTACTAAGATCTAAATTACATACAGTAAAAATGTGCATGTATTGTGTAGAGCTTGATACTTTTTTTTTGGAAAGGTTTTTTGCTACAGGACGCGTGTGCTCTCCAGAGAGACAGAGAGAGATAGAGAGACAGAAAGCGAGAAATCACCCCGCAGGGGGGGATGGCCATGCCGCAATCCCTTCTCCTCCATTCTTCTCTTGGGATCTTGGGCACTCATGCACACGTGCCTGGTGTGAGTTTAAGCCACTGGGTCTGGGAATCGAACTGTGGTTGACTACATGGGAGTTCAGCGACATAGCCATAACTGCTGGTCTCGAGCTTGTTACATTTTGACATATATATTCATGTAACCTAAATCACCTCATTAAGATTGGGCTGTCATATAGGATCAGATTGTCAAATCAGACTTGCACAAATCAGAGTTTTACCCAGTATCAAGCTTTATCAATAATTTCATGAATAAAGGTAACTAGGAGGCTCAGTTTAAACAGGGGTCTGGACATTAAAGGTGGATCATAGGTTCTCTTCCCACATCAGATATATACCTCTGGCTCAGAATAATAGATGAAGTATCTATGAGGTTTGCAGGTTTTTTTTTTTATTCCAATCATGTTATATACCTCAGAAAGTTGTAGAATGTATGTGATATTCTCCAAGGAGCTCTGTCATATAACTCCATAAATCTTGGTCTTTGTTACCTGTTTTTATCTTTCAGTTGGGAAATCCAACTAAGGGAATCTCAGAGATAAAGTCTCTTCTTTGAAAATATTCTGTTTTATTTATTTAGAAGTGTAGTTAATAAGGAGATTAGACTAACTAGCTACCTTTTATTCTTTTCCCCAGGAAATTCCCTGCTCTCTTTTCATGAATAGAATAAATGAATGAAAGGTTATCTACCTTATCTCCTGAAGATATAAAACATTTCCTTCAATCCGGAAAGATGCTTGGTTTGCCTCTTTATAGTCTATTCTCCTTTCCTTCCATCCAAGGCAACCACTATTCTGATTTTTCCCTGGCCCTTCATATAAATGGAACCATATAATGCATTTTCTTTTGTGCCTTATGTCTTTTACGTAAGATATTAACTCCATCTTGGTTGGGTATATTAATAGTATTTTCATTTTTATTCCTTGTGGCTTTGTAATATAATTAGGCCAGGTAGTGAGATGTCTCCAACTTCACTCTTTTTGTAGTATTGTTTTGGTGGTATGTAATATGGGGTCTTTTATGATTCTAGACAAATTTTGTGATCATTTTATTCTACTGAAGAATGTTGCTGGAATTTTAATAGGAATTGCATACAATTTGTATATCACTTTGGCTAATATTGACATTTTATTTCATTTAAAATTTTTTTTTTTTGCCAGAGGGTACAGGTGCTTGCTAAAGAGAAACAGAAAGAGAGAGAAAGTGAGAAAACATTCCCCCGGGTTGTGGTCACACCACAGTTCATGTTCTGATTCTCCTTTTGGTGCATGACCAACATGTTTTTTCCTTTTCTTTCTTTTTTTTTCCCAAGTGTTCCCCCCCCCCCCCCCATGGGCCTTGTCCCTTCCCCGGGGCAGG